AATAGATTGTCAAATCACTGTAGCAAGTTATTTGACTTTTAATACAGCATATAATACACGTCATCCCCCACTCCCAAATCTACAGATTTATAGTAAAATGGAAAAAACTATGATGTGGTCGAAGTACTCAGCACAAAAATTAAATCGCAAACCATGGTAAGTAGACTGCACAAGTAGAGATATCCATGTCCATTCTAGTGAAAGAAAATAAAGAGTCCATAATTTTATATCATAATTTTATCAGTCTTTCTCCAGAGCTTTCCCATTTAATTCCAGGAGTTCGTCTATAAGGTTTGGGGCTCAGGCCAACCTGTCTAGACAAGGTGGGCCTGATGGGATTAGAAGACGGGACAGGCCGTCTTCCAGGCCTATTATACGCCACTGTCACGTACTCACCCTCCCAAGCTCAGAGGGCCCATTTGGTCTACAACTGTCAACTAGAGATAATCAGAGAAACGCTAGGAAATGCTGCCATTTCCAAATTAGTACAATCTGGACATTGTCACTGAAGCTCCTGCTGAGCCCTGGCAGAGGGCACAACAGTGGGTGAGGCCTAGAAATCAGTTCATGGGATGGAAGGCGTGGTGGGAACTCATCCACTGGAAGGCGGAGAGATTGTAATCTATACCTATACGTTTTGATGGTTCAGATGGAGAAACTGACCTACGACACACTGGTGACAGGGTGGCAGAACCACGCTGCGAAGAAGCCAGGGCTTCAGGTTCCTAAGCCAACTTTCTTCCCCTACTGTTACCCAACCTCATCCACCCCGTCAGGCCCTGGCCTAACACCCACCTCTGACTACTCACAAAGGAACGAGTCCATCTAAAGGTGGGGGAGGGGAAAGGAGCAGCACGCTGCTCTGTGTAAGAAAGCCAGAACACCACCACGTCACCTCAGGTTTACCTCACTGAAACTGGTCAGCTAGTTAAGAGCAAGAAAGTAAAATTCATTCCCAATTTCTATTCTTTTTATTCCCATGAAATTACTCAACCTCTTTTGGAAATTTACTATTCTCTGCTTGTACCCATAGAGTGATGTGTCTATATTAATAATTTTCAGCTTAATGCACATAAAATTAAGCATACTGATAAAAAATTACTTAGTAAACTTTTATATAGGTAGGAAGCATTTAAAAAATTTTTATGTGATTCATTAATTCTGTATCTATAAAACGCTGCTTAATAAATCCCTACCACAAAGACTTAACACTCCCCAAAAAGACGCAAGCCCTTTTAGCACCTGGTTTCACTTTTAATAGATGAGAAGAATGATTCTTATTTACATGTGATAAAAAAAAAAACAAAACAAAAACGTGATGGAGGCCTTCAGTGGCAGCCTGATGAACATGGCTCCTGTCTGCCTGAGTGCGCGTTGAGCCAGTGCTCGCGCGCACGTCCCTGGCCTTCGTCGGGTGCACTGGACCAGGGCTAGGCAGCAGCTGTTGCCGAAATAGGCCTCATTTCCTCCAAGTGCTGCTTCAAGGTACAGAACATGAAGGTGTAAGTACATCTGTCTTTTGCCATTTGTAGTTCTCCTGGCCTCGTGCATGTCTTGGAGTCGGACAGATGGCCCCTGACACTGCACAGGCTTTCGGGGAGATATATTCCCAAGCTAAGAGGCAGATGTGAAATATGTAAGTACATGTCTCATCCCCTGAAGGTTCGCGCTGAGGCTGCCATCTCACTTTGGTTACTTAAATACTGGATCCTCGGTAATCCTTGGAAATCCCCATGCTAGAAATATAACTTTTTATGCTTATTTTATGCCTTTATAAAAATATCTAAGACATGGAATAAATAAATGTTGATCTAACCTAAGGAAGTATATAATTTTTCTAGATAAGTTTTCAGGTAAATTGGAAGTAGTGATAGAACTTTCATACCTATAAATGAGAGCGCTGTGTTCTCTTTCTACGTCATCCATGTCAGATACATTGTATTAATTTTATTTTTTAAATGCTAGGAAAGGCATTTCATTGAGGCAAAGTTAAGAGTAAACTAGAATTTTCAGAATAAAAAGAGACCTGGAAAATGAGAAGCCCATTTGCTCATCACTCTGGTGACCTAAATGTGGCAATCAAAATTCTCAGCACGTATAATGAAATTGAATGGGAATAATGCAAACTAGCGAAGTGCAGTCTTGAGAACGGATCATAGTAAAAAAAAAAAAAAAAAATTTTAATAAAATCGAGCCTTTCCAATCTAATGGAATGAAATGTAATAATACAAACTGTCTAGGAGTTGTTTCAAATCTCTGCCTATGTTAAACATGAAAATTCAGGGAATATATTTTGATCTTGCAAAACAAATATTACTTTTGGTAAGGCAAATATATGTATTTCGATGTAAATGCTAAATGTTAAAGTGATAAAACCACAAGTTATGTTCAGAAATTTCTACGATCGTTCGGGGGAATTCTAAAGAATTATAAGGAAGTCACAATAGCAATTTCTGAATGTAACCAACAAACCCTTCAGAAAGTAGCTGAGGGGTAGTAAGCCTATAATCTAGCGATAGCCAAGTTATAAATACTGTCATCAAAGTGTTCACAGGTCACTGTAGTCTGTTCTGATAGGAGGGAAGGAACAGCAGGAGGGGAGGAGGAGAGGGAAGAGTACAGTGCGAGGGGAAGAAACAGTCGGTGGGTCATGGCGGTGCCCTGCAGCCCTATCACAATTCATCACAGACGCGACATAAAAAAACCAATAAAATGAGCTCAAAAAAATCTCTTCTCTTGATAAGGTACAATGGTTACATGAGAGAATACCCTTGCCTTTACAAATCACATGTTGAACTATGTAAAAATAAGGGGCTGGCAAGTCTCCCAATGACTCTGAAACAATTCAGAAAAGAGCTGGTGTGTGTGAGTGTGTGTGCAGACAAGACAGATGACAGAATGTGAATAATAAGGCAAATATGTTGGACTGCTAACATTTGGGACATTTGAGTAAACAGGAATTTCTTTTAACTTTTTGTAGGTCTGAATCTACGTTGAAATTTTTAAAATTTGAATCTAAGTACTCATTGTAGGAAAAATATTAATTATTCTCTCTAAATACTTCAATACAGGACATGCTAAAAAGAATTCAAAAACTTGGCAAAAATAAAATGATTTCATAATTGAGATAAAGTCTAGTAAACAATAATGATTCATGCATTGTGAATATTCATTTCAAATCATGTAACTCAAGTTCATATTAAGTAATCCACTAATAACGGATTATTAAATTATCTAAAGATATAAGGGAATCTAATATACATGCTCTGAAAATCTAGAAACACTGCCCACGTTTTCAAAAACAAAAGGATAATAGACTTATCGGGGTGATCATTTTGTAACTTATGTAAGTGTCTAACTACTGTGCTGTACACCTAAAACTAATATAATATTGAATGTCAACTGTGATTGAAAATAAAAAAGTTTTAAATAAAAGGAAACAGAATGAATCTCAGTTCATAAAGTATGGTACCATAGGAAAATAGCAGGTGATTCATAATTTCTACCTATCTGAGGGCAGAGAGAGACTGAACAAGAGTGAGTGAGAGATATTCTCTTTTCATTAGAAAAAATTATAAATTTATACAAAAGTAGAGTCACTTTCCACCCCTCCAACAAGTATTTTGAATTAAATTCTAATATCATATGACTTTATACATAGAATTTCAGTCACTATAGAGCTTATTTGAAAGAGAGCTCACATTTCATTATAAAATAGCATAGCTCTTAAGTTTTAAAAATAATAACCATGAACATTAGAAATAACACTAAAATTAATTTAAAGAACAATAATTTTGAATATTCTTTCACTTAGATTGAGGACAGACAAAAACTACTAAGCAGAATTTGTACAATGCTGATTTGGGACCTAGTTTTGCTATATTTTTCCTTTTAATATGCAACAAACTCAGTTTTATTTCTGCATTCAGCAAAAGGGTTATTTATAATACGAAAACCACTCTACTAGGGAGAGAATCAATTTCTGTGTTATGGTAAAATCCATTGTCCCTGAGAATGAATATTTCTTCTCACAAAACTGACCTCTGCAAACACTTTCCCACCTAGCAAACAATATTAAGACAGCCAAGTAAATAACCTATTCCTTTTGTTGGCAAGGCCCCAGAGACCATTTGAAGCCAAGACAGGGTTTTTTCCTGACAAGGTGAATACAGAATTTTAAGACAGTCGTTCTATTTCAAATTAGGTTAAAACTCAGGGGTGCTTATTGATGCAAACAGGTAACTTACCTATAGACATATGTATTTTCCGGTACAAAAGGAATTTCAAAGTTATTACACAATTAAATATCTAATGATATGTTAGACACAGCCCTTTATTTTCAGGAACCAAAAGAGGTGATCATTTTATATTTCAAAGAGGGAGGAATTTTAAATATCTAAAATACACACAAAGATATGAAGTGAACCATCAAGTCTCTGAGGATGTTCATGACCAATCTGGAGTGAAGGCCAAATCTTAGGGCTCTGGCTTCTGAAAACTACCCAGTTTTTCCCACTGTCCTGACACTAAAGGCAGATTATTACATATAAATTACACCTCAATATAGATGATTTTTAAAAATGTATTAGAAGCATGGGTGTCACCTCAAGTTCTCCTTAGTGTTTCTGTCCGTCAAAAGAGGGGAGTCATTATAAATCCAGACCATGTCCACAAAAGCAAGAAAATGAAACTGGACTTTCAGACAAAGCCACAAGGCAGCAAGCATAAGACTAAGTAGCTAGATCTGGTTTTTATTAGCCAACACTCATTTTCACAACTTGTCACTGCTTTGTTTCCTCTCTGACTGTGTGTGTACAGGGTTGTGTGGAAGGACGTTTGTGCATGTTCTATGCTTTGTACTTAATCTGCTGCCATTAAGTATCATATGGGCTGGAAATGAAAAACATAATCAAAACCATCCAAACAAAAAGTACGTTTTATTTTATGTAGTCAATCCTCTAACACAGTTGTTAAGAAAAGTGTCCAGCCTGAGGCCTTACCCTGTTCGTTTCGTGATGGTCCCCAATGTCATTGGCTGTTTGATTTGTGCAAGAGGCATCAAGACCATCAAGCTGGGGAGAGGAGAGAGCCGAGGGTTGCCAGGGTTGTTGTTGGCAAAATTATTGTAGGAGTCTTGGCTGTTTAGTTTCCCTACAAAAAGAAAAATAAAGAAAAACATCACCATGGGAAGTCTCCTTTTCTCATAGGGTTTACACTAATTCCACTATCCACTTAAGAAATTTATCAAAGACAGAACTGATTCTAAAAGAATCATGACTATATGAAGGGGGTGGGGCAGGAGGACAAGAATACTGGTTAGGCCAAGTGTGACTTGATTACAAATAGAGACTTTTAGTCTTTGGGGATGGAGGAATAGAGGGCAGCAAATTGGATGGAGGTTAAATGGTTATACCAATAATTAGTAGAACACTTAATTATAACGTTATGGTGTTAAAAGAAATACAGAGCAATTTTTTAAGGTATGAGACGTGATTTTTAAAAAAGGGTATAAAAATGAAATCAAATACTACGAATCAAAGCAGATGATGCAATAATCTCTAAGGTCTAAATAGAGTCTACCATAATCTGATAAATAATGGGCTTAGGATTCTTTTCCTCTTTGTTTTTTAACCAGGGCCCTCAAAATATTACCTATCATAACTGTTACTCCAATACTATGGTACTTGAAGCCTGAAGCAAGAAAGGATCCATGAGCTCCTTCATTTTCTGCATTTTAACAGACATCCTGGCCTGATAACACGTTTTGAGCTAAATTTTGTTGACCTGAAGTGTTATGTCAAATTGTACCGCTTTCTTAACATAAAAACAAATCAGGCATAGTCACTGAAAAGAAAGAGACCAGACTATCAGAAGGGAATATACTATATTCTGGAGAAGAGCTTCCTATTTGGACACTTACTGTTCCTGTGTTACTTACTGGTTCTGTGTTACTTGGCGTCCCTACCTTGCAGCCTATCACTACACATATCTCAGAGAGAGAAGGGTGTAAAACACAAAGGCAGAACTTGTTTTCACATCATCAAAAGTCCTCTTTAGACACAAGGCATATAGAATTAGAAAATTTGGATCATTTTATTTGATTTTTCTGAATTTCCATAATGCTTTGAAATGCTACCACATTGGAAATTAGGTTCCTAAACAACTGAGGATTCCCAACATAGACACTGCACAGACCCCTGCCCAAAAACACGCAGGACTCACTAAGGGCGAGATTTTAAATTTCCAAACTCTTATAACCCCATTCAGTCACCTTATCCCAAAGAAGCATCTCTGTAACAGTAAATAGAGGTTTTTCAGAGGGACTTGAGGTAGAAAAAGGAGAAAAATCATATCGAATTCCTTTCCTTTCCAAAGACAGCGGTGATTTGTTGCCTTTCCTCCATGGTGCATGATACCTAACGACACGTGCTGCTTCTGCTTACACCTTGTCATTGTCTGCAAAACCATCAGCTGGGACCCTGATAGGGCTCTGTGGAATCTGTAGATCAGGGAAGGGAGTACTGCCCTCTTAACAATATTAAGTCCTCCAAGTCATGATCATGGAATGTCTTTCCACTTATTTACATATTCTTTCATTTCTTTGAATATTGTTTTGTAGATTCCGGGGCAAACATTTACACTTCTTTTGTTAAACTTATTCCTATTTTATTCTTTTTGATGCAATTTATTAAAAGAACCATCTTTTTAATTTGCCCTTCCAGACTCTTCATTGCTAGAGATGTACAATTCATTTTTGTACATGGATGATGTATTCTACAACTTTGTTTCTTAGCTCTACTGGTTTCTTTTGGATTCCTTAGGATTTTCTATATACATGATCATGTCATCCTCAAAGAAAAGAGTTTTACTTCTTCCTTTCCAGTCCAGACGCCTTCTATTTCTGTTATTGCCTAGTAGTCCTGCTTACATCGTCCAGTACAATATTGAACAGACGTGGCAAGAGCAGACTGATTCAGTTCGACTTAATTTGTGTATGTAGAGTGAGGTATGTATTTATCGCTTTGAAAATGGATGTCCACTTGTCTCATTATTATTTATTAAAAAGATTATCCTTTTTCCATTAAATTTGCTTTGCATCTTTATCAAAAATCAATTGCCCATATAAATGTGAGTCTATATCTGGATTCTGTTTCATTGATCCATGTGTCTATCTTTTCATCAATACATTTTCTTGACTACTGTAGTTTTATAGCTATTCTTATAATTCATGCACTTATACAATAACTTTATAAAAAGTCACATTTCCCATGTTATATAAATGAGTTCAATCTTTATAATCCAACAACTCTTACATACAGAAAACACCTTACTGACCCAATATTATTTACAAATCATTGTTCTTGATTTTTCATAAAAAGAATCTGTACTAGTTATACAATCAGCAATAAAAATGGTATTTTATAAATAATAGTGACAGTAAACACACATAACTTTTACTAATTTGAATTAAGGAGACAAATTTATATGAAAAACAAACGAATCCTCCCAAAAGTGTCCTAGCGATATATTATTACTAACAGATATCCTGAGGGACATTCACTCTTCAAACAGAATGAATTCAGTACAGGAGAACTGCCACACTGTAGCTTCAGAGGTAGTGGAAAGGTAAGAGGCCCCTTTTCCAAAGTCATTACAACATGGTGTCTTCAGAATTAAGATAATGACTTAACCAATGTGTCTTCTTTCTTGGACACAAATCTATGGAATTATCAAGTTAAACACTTTTATGTCTCTTTACAAAATAAAGAGAAAGACAAGAAATTCACACAAATAAAATATTTCTCTCTCTCTCTCTCTCCAATTTCCAATTCAGAATCCACATTAAAGTTAACTGAAGCGACCCACACCTATCATAGAGATAATAAAGGACAGCATTTGGCCCTGGTCGGTGTGGCTCAGTTGGTGCACCGAAAGATGGCGGGTTCCATTCTAGGTCAGGACACATACCTAGGTTTCTCGTTTGGTCCCCCGCTGTGGTGAATACGAGAGGCAACAAGTGGATGTTTCTTTCTCTCTCTCTCTCTCTCTGCCCCTCCCTTCCCCTTGCTCCAAAAAAAAAAAATCAACAAACATATCCTAGGGTGAGGAATAAAACAAACAAACAAAAAAGATACCACACAGAATATGCACAAGATGCTTTGGACCATTTAATAAATCACACAATAATATCTACACTCACACAACACTGAACCAGGTAATAAAAAGAGTGGAATTCCATTACAATATTTGATATTCACGGAGGAATAACAAAAAGTTTTATAGTTAAGTCATTCAATGTGATTTATGATGATACTTGTAGACCAATATAAATGTAAATAGTTTCAATATTCACCATTAGACAACTATGGTAACACTGATTTAGATGTGAAATCAGACCACAACCATTAGACATGTCACAGGCTAATGAAATTCAAGGACGGTGTATAACACACATTTCACAGCAGCAGTCAAAGTGTTTGTTAAGTGCCTTCGCCCAAGATTACAAGCTGTGAGGACTGCGTTCTCTGTTGTCACGAAGCTTACAGTCTAATGTGCACGCAACAGGGATAATGAAGTTCCGATTGCTCAGTCCTAAAGACAAGTATGCATGGGATCAATTACCTGGAGAAGAGGTCGTGAAGCATGTGGAACACAAGCTACACTGTGAAGGGTGGGCAATATGAATGAGAGAGAAGTACCCTGAGCATGAAGGATAGCATGAAGAGCAGAGGGGAGAAAGAGATGCGCCGTATGTGAGCAATAGTAAGGAATGTAACTACAGGACATTAAAATGGAAAGCGGTGGGACAATAAAATGATCATTTAGTAAAACCTTTCAATTGAAGCAAAGGAGTAAAAACCTAGGTAAGTTCGTCAGCAAGGGAACAGTACAAACTTTGAGATCACGGATCTTTATAGGTACGATGAGTGGTCTAGAAAAACGAAGTGATTCACTTAGAAGCCCCAAATCTTGTGGTTTAGTTAGCCATAACTGGTCCTTCCCTGGCTCCCCAGGATCAAGGGCAGCCTCGGAACAGTATCTAAGGTACTTCAGACCGGCCCCTCTCGACCTGTATTTTCAAGCAACACCCAAGCATATGTGGGATTTTACACTTGAGGTCTGTGTTCATGATGTGGCCTCTGAGATCCAGCCCAACTAAAAGAATCAAGTAAGTTGGGTAGATTTTATGTTCATAAGAACAGAGGTAGTGTTTGTCTAAAAAATAGTCCCCCCTGCCCTGGCCGGTTTGGCTCAGCAGTTAGAGCATCGGCCTGTGGTCCGGAGAGACCCAGGTTCGGTTCCCGCTAAGGGCATGTACCTCGGTTGCAGTTTGTCCCCGGCCCTGGTTGGGTCGTGTGGTCGTGTGGGTGGCAACCACTCAATGTGTCCCTTTCATGTCGATGTTTCTCTCTCTCTCTCTCTCCCTCCCTCCCACTCTATCTGAACAAAATATCAAAAAATGTCCTCGGGTGAGGACTAAAAAAAAAAAAAATAGTCCCCCCTGCCCTGGCCAGTTTGGCTCAGCGATTAGAGCGTCGGCCTGTGGACCATGAGACCTGGGTTCGGTTCCCGCTAAGGGCGCGTACCTCGGTTGCAGTTTGTACTCGGCCCGGGTTGGGTCATGCCGATGGCAACCACTCGATATGTCCCTTTCACATTGATGTTTCTCTCTCTCTCTCTTCCACTCCATCCAAACAAAAAATGGAATAATGTCCTCAGGTGAGGATAAAAAAAAAACAAATAGTCCCCCCTTATCCGAGGGGGATACATTCCAAGACCCCCCAGTGGATGCCTGAAACTGGAAACAGTACCAAACCCTACATATACTATGTCTTTTCCTATACATACATACCAAAAATAAAGCTTATTTATAAACTAAGCACAGTAAGAAGATAACAGTAATACAAAATAACAATGATAAGAATATATATTATAATCCAAGTTCTGTGACAGTGGTCTCTCTCTCTGAAAACATTGAATTGTACCGTATGTACATCAGGAGATGCTGGACAGAGGGAATCTTCTCATCCCAGGCAGGGCAACGTGGGACAAAGTGAGAGTTCATCACACTAGTCGTAACGGCACAAAGCTTAAAATTCACCAGCTTAAAATTCACCAGTTGTTTATTTCTGGTACTCTCTGTTGAACAG